TTAACACGACCATATTGGAGACAAAACCAAGCAAACTTTACAAACAAAACCGAAATTCACAATCGTTCTCACTTTCAAGAATAAATCAAAAAGATCTCATGTGGGCATGCTTAATTCTAGAAAATAAGGAAAATGATAAAAGTTTAATTTCCCTTTTTAATCATGCTCAAATGCGAATAAATCAATTTAAACCTCGTCACCATCTCAGAAAACAGTTAAAATATGCTTTAAAAATTTACGGGCTTTACCATAATTTACTTACCTTAATTACACGAGACAGACGGCCTAATCCAAGTGCTAAGATCACAGGGCAATCAAGGACCTATTCACAATATTCTCGAGTTAATATCTATAAGGAAATTTCATTCCTTTATTTATTTTCATTTTTGCTTTCTATGTGAAAATCAAGCATTAACCGGGATTGGGTATTTATCTATATATCTACAATTATGTAATTACCCATATACCATTTTTCTCAAATCTATGGACAAGCAATGGGAGAACCGGCCTTGACAAAAATGGCCAACTCACGGGTTCTCCCCTTTCCTCATGGATACACACACACAACAGCCAAAACCCCCTAATTTCCTACACAATTCATCAACCAAAACTCATTTTCAAGTTGCCGAAATCCTCCCTATTTCAACAAAACTCTCGGACAACTCAAGCCCATTTCATATAGCCTAGCCACTTAAACTCAAATCAGCACTTAACAACCAATTTCAAGAGATTAAAGAAGCCAACTTACCAGAAATGCTCAACAAGCAAAGCTGGAGCTGGCGGGATGAAGAGGTGCCGACGGGAAGAATTGCAGGGGGCTTCCACGGGACCACTAGAAATTGGAAGAACAAGACGATTTGAGTGACCCAACTTAAATCAAGGTTGAAAAGAGGAGTTTCTGGACTGATTTTTACCAGGAAAAACTGGTATTCACTCCAGCAATACCGGCGGCAGGGGGGCAGAAGGACAGCAGATCCGGAGAAATTTCTGCAAGGGAGAAGATTTCTAAGTCCTAAACTTGTTCTTGAGCAAGAGAGGAACAAAAATTATCAAGCTCTCTTACCAAATTTGCAGATGGGGGCTTCGGTTATGGCTGGTGATGACCGGCTGCAGAGGAGAAGAAAAACAGAGCAGACACGCGAAAGTGCTGGGGGAAGAAAGAAAGAAAGAAGAAAAAGAAAAAAAAGAAATGAGTCAACCGGCCTTATCCAATAAGAATTTGACCCCTTTGAAGTTTGAAAAATTGACAATTAGGTCCATTAATAATGTTTCTTCATCATTAAGTCCCTAACTCAACTTGATATGCTTGAAATTTTTTTTGGGGTATTACAGATTCCATGCTATAGACAAGCAAATATGGAGTAGCTTGTGTTGACATTCTATAAGTTACACAATAAGCCATAAAGCTTCACCTATTCTTCCATGTTAGTCTTTCTTTGAACTTTTGCCTATTTTCTTTAGAAGATCGCATAAAGTTTTATTAAAGCCTCTACAAGACCATTAGTTGGTGCGTTACACATGGAAGAGTTATGTTGCTTGAATCCAAACCTCTCGCATAGCTTGTATATTTCTTTACTATAAAATTCCTTTCCATTATTAGTTATAATATAGCGAGATACACCATAATGATAAATGATATTTATTCAAATGAATGATGCAACTATTTCTTTCTTGAATTCTTTAGAAGGTACAGCCTTGGCCCATTTTTAAAAACAATCTATTACAGCAAGTATGTAAAGATGCCCTTCTAAACTTTTTGGCAAAGAACCAATTACATCAAGACCCCAAGCATCAAAGGGCCATGATGCCACAATTGGATGTAATGGTTCAGGCAGCTAATGGATCAAGTTCACATGCTATTGGCAAGCTTGGCATTTTTTAGCATATTCTATCCAATCTTTAACCATAGTAGGCCAATAATAGCCCTTTCTCTTTATTTGAAAATGTAGCTTAGGTCTAGATTGATGAGCACCACAAATGCCTAAGTGTGCTTCTTTTATGGATTTCATAGCTTCTTTTTCCCCTAAACAACAAAGGAAAAGTCCTTCAAAAGAGTGGCAATAAGGTATACCTTTAAAATATATGAAGTGTGGAGCTTTACGTCTAATATCAATCTTGTGATGTAAATCATTAGGTAACTTTCCATGCTCTAGATAATTTATCAGAGGTTCTTGCCAGTCTTATTTTTTAATCTCATAAATAGAAACAAGATTTACTTATTCTTCAATGTTATCTTCAATAATTGGCGAAATAACCCATCTTTGACAAATGGAAACTTTTACTTCAATGTCTAAAAATAAAAGTGTTGGTACTAAATTTGCCAAGACATCAACTTGCTTATTTTCTAGTCTAGAAACATGCTCTATTATAACTTGATCAAATTGAGCTAAAACTTTGCCCACATAATTGAAGGTACTAGCTCAAGCTTCTTAACCTCATATAGTGACAAGAGCTTATTGATAATCAACTTAGAATCTCTAAATACTTTTAAGCAAGTTATTCGCATGTCAATTACCATCTCAAGCCCTATGACTAAGGCTTGATACTTTGTCATATTATTTGAACAATGTTTGATGAGCGTGAATACATATGGTAAAACTTTATCATTTGGAGTAACAAAAATAACACAAGCACCAGCACCATCAATACGAGTTGCACCATGAAAGAACATTGCCTATGCCTTTGACTCTTCAACGAATAAGATATCTGATGAGTTGAATTTATATACATATTAATATGGAATTGTTGCCTTGATATTATTGATATTTGGATGAGTTTTATGAGATTTTACTAAGTTTTATGAGATTTTACATGATTTTCATTCTTTGTGCAGAAAAGGACTTCAATGCATAAAAGAAGAGTTTTGGGATTAATTGAACATCTTTTAAAAGTTGAGGGACTGAATTGCAAGAAGAAGGGCACTTCTTTGGAACCTTAATGAATGAATCTTGAGTTTTGGGATCTAAGTACTCACTATACAAAAGCTGGAGGATAGATCTGTCATTTTACCATTGAAGAAATTGCAAAAGGTGGTCACGAGTGTAGTGTCGACACATAATCGGAGTGTCGAGACCATGCATTAATCGTCCAGAATCAAACTTTGTTTCCTATTTTGTGTCGACACATAATTTGGCGTATCAACACCATACATTCAGTGTCCAACATTCAAATTTCCTATTCTGTTTCAAATCCTACTTCTATTCTAATTAAAATTTCTAAAACCTTATAAATACCCATCCAAATTTATAATTAGGAGAGCTTGGTGGAAGCTGGTGAAAGTCTTCTTTTGGGCATTCTTGAAGATCAAGAAAGAGGATTCAACAATAAAAAATCAAGGAGTTCAATTTCCCCAAATTGGGTTTCATTTTTCCTTGGATTTTTATCTATTGTTTGACATTTGAATGTTCATAACTATGATTTCAGATTTTATTATTTTTATTATGAACTAATTTGTTCTACTAGGGTTACAATGTAGTCTAAGCAATTTAATATAGATTTTGTGATTTTATGCTTTCAATTTAAGTTATTTGCATGAGGAGTTTATATTATTGAACTTAATGCATTAGAAGCCTAATCACCTTTCAATTGATATAGTGATTTATGCATGAACTTGAGAAAGAATTGCGTAAATTAGACCAATAATAATATAAACCGTGCACTAGACTATGAGACTGAGAGCTAATTAGCTCACATATGGTAGTGGAGGAAGAGAAGAGAGTTAGGAGCTCCCCCTTCTTAAGCTAGAGGTTTCCATAGAATTTAATACTCATTAGTTTGTTTAAAATTACATAAAGATATGATTAATTTAACAAACAAGTGAAGGATTAACTTGACTTGAGAAAGCTAGTTAATTAATTTAGGGAAATCTGCCATCACATGCAATAATACTCAACAAATTAGCATATTAATCCAAAATTTATATTGATTGATTATGGTGAAATCAATGCCTTAGTACATCCTATTTTAGTTAGGTTTATTTGTTATTTTCTTTTTATTATTTTTAATTAAAGTTTCTTCATATTTGATTGTTCAAATAAATTTAAATTAATTATTTTGATACTTAATGAGACACGATCCACGTGGGTTCGACACTCTCCCATCATTATATTACTTGGAGTGACTAGTCCACTTGCTAGGGTGATTTTAGTGCATCAATATCTTCGTCAGGAAGTTCTTTAGAAAATTCCCAATTGTTAGGAACTGGATGATCAACTAGAAAATCAACAAGTGCTTGCCCTTTAACTACTTATTGAAGTATACACGTGATATCAAATTCTTGAAGAAGAAGTGCCCATTTTGCAAATCTCCCACTTATTATCATTATTGTCATAAGATACTTAATAGAAACAGCCTTGGAAATAAGGCAAATTAGATGAACTTACAAATAATGTCTTAGCTTATTTACTACAAACATTAATGACAAACATATATTCTCAATGGGAGAATAGTCATATATTCTCAATGGAATAATATTTTAGTTCTGCATCATTTAATGTTCTACTAAGATAGTAAAGTGTCTTTTCCTTGTTTTCATCATTTTCTTGTGCTAATAATGGGCCCAAGAAGCATCCTTGAGCTACAAATATAAAGGATGAGAGGTTTTCCATGTATAGGAGCCTTTAGAACTGGTGGCCTTAGCAAATAAGCTTTAATGCTTTTAAAATCATTTGTGCATGCTTCGTTCCATTGAAATCTTGAATTCTTTTTCATCAAGTGACTAAAAGGTTGGCATCATCCAGCCAAGTTTGAAATAAACCTTTGCATGTAGGTTAATCAACCATGTAAACTTTTAAGTTCATGCAAATTTCTTAGCTTAGGCATTTTCAAAATAGCATCAACCTTGGATTGATCAATTTCAATTCCACGATGCCTTACAATGAAATCTAAGAATTTCCCAAATTGAACACCAAATTCACATTTCAATGGGTTTATTTTTAATTGAAAACATAGTAGCCTTTCAAATACTTTTTCGAGATCATTTAGATGATCACCTTTCTTTTTTGATTTCACCACTAAATCATCAACATAACACTCCACATTTTTATGAAGGTTTAATACCCTTTTTGGTCCCTCTACTATAAGAAAAAGCCCCTTTTTGATCCCTATATCGAAAAAATTCCCTTTTTGGTCCTTACTGTTCACAAATCCGGCTCCTTTTTAGTCCTTCTGTTAAATTTTGGCTGATGTGGCAGGTTAATTAACGGAAACACTCATTTCTTTTTTTTTTTTACTAAATTACATGGAAAATCCACGTGGCAAAAATTGATGACATGTTAAATTTTTTACTTTTAATTATTGATATACCCTCATCTTCTTTCCCGGCTTCTCCTTCCTGCAGCCTTTTTTTTTTTCTTTTTTTTCTTTTACCTCTAGGCAAACCCAAGTCTTGGGTTTGCGACGTCCGTGCAATAGCCTTTCACCTAATTGCAGAATCGAGGTGCTGAGTGCTGAAATTGCCCTCGATTCTCATTCAGGTGATGGAACGGGAAGATTCAGATGGTGCTGAGTGGAACAATTCTGAGTCACCGTAAAAAACGGGGAATATTATCAATGCGTCATGTACCAACGTTGTATGACAGCAGATCCCTCACATTATTATACTCCACAAGAATATCATCATCCTTCCAAAACAGCAATGGTTTTCTAGCAATTGGAAACAACCTTACCATTGTTAATTGAGTCCAAACTCCATTAACTTCCGATTCATTCCTCACCCATACCTTCAACAATTTCTCTTGAAAAGCTAACAAGGGACACTGCACAAGGGAAAAGGATCCTTTCAGAATGTGTAGACCACTGTCGTAAGACTCACTAGAGTGGAAATCGTCTGGCATTGATATCTTCTGGAAGACCTCATTGCTCATATCAAATGAAACAATAATCTCAGAATCGTTCCCCTCCTCGTCCGAGTTAGGCTCATCCTCACTATAATATTCTTTCCGCGCTAAGTACCAAAGGAGAATTTTTCTTTTTGATGGTTTGGGGTATTAAGTACCAGAGGAGAAAAAAATTTTTTTTTTTTTGAATAATGATAGAAAGTAGAAAAAATTTGGTTGGCTGGATTTTGTCATTGTTAACCTTTTTGGCAAATTAGAGATGGGGCAAATCGAGAAGCTCCATGGATCCACATAGCACCCATCTCGATTCTGTCACCACCAAACTCCGATGTGTTGATTCTTTCGCCAATTCTCGTCCCACCTTCCACCACACAGAGGTCGAACAAGTCTTTGGAGCTGGCGGAAGTGTAGAGCCTGTTAGCTGCCGCGAGACCTGCCATTCCCGCACCAACTATCACAATTCTTGGCTTCTTCGCCATTATAGTACCTTGGATTCAAGTTTTAGAAAAACCCAGAAAAATTCAAGAAATGCAAAAAGGGAAAACAAGAAAAATTAATAGAGAGAAAACAGAGTGGAAAACACAGGCTCCTGGGTAGCTTGCGAAGAACCCAAGCTCTTGGGTTCCTCGCGAACCCAGGCTCCTGGGTAGCCTGCGACGAACCCAGCTTGCGAGTTCGCGAAGAACCTAGGCTCCTGGGTTCCTCACAAACCCGCGAGCTGGGTTCCTCGCGAACCCAAGCTCCTGGGTACCCTGCGAGGAACCCGCGAGCTGGGTTCCTCGCGAACCCAGGCTCCTGGGTAGCCTGCGAGGAACCCAGCTTGTGAATTCGCGAGGAACCCAGGCTCTTGGGTAGCTTGCGACGAACCCAGCTCGGAAACCCAGGTTCGCCTACGGGGTAAGAGGAAAAAAAAGAAAAAAAAGAAAAAAAGGCTGGAGGAAGTGGAGTCCACGTGGAGGATGACGCGGAGTCCACGTA